GTCTATCATTCCCATCTTGTCACAAGCCAAGCTGTATTTGGTTCCTAGTCCTTTAGTCAAGCAATATGCAATTTGTTGCCCTGAGCTCACATACTCTTGATAATCCAGCATCCAACTTTTTCTTTGATAAAGGATTTGTCAGTCTCCACATGTTTGGTTCTCATGTTGAACCGGGTTGTTTGCTATATTAATTGCTGACTTCTTGTCACACAACACATTCATGCAAATGGTCTTAAATATCTTCAACTCTTCTAATAGACTCCTTGTCCATAACAAATCACTCAGTCCCTGACATGGCTCTGTATTTGTTTTGGATCGTTTCTTGCTTCTCCAAGACGGTAGATTTCCTCCTACAAAAACACGATGGCCTGAAATTGATCTTTTGTCATCACAATAACCATCAATGGCAGGATGTCCATGACTCTTGTGCAACAGTCCTTTCCCACGAGAACCTTTCGAGTATCTCAAGATTCTACGTACTGCCTCAAGATGTTCACTTCTAGGCTCATGCATATATCTATTCACAACACTTACTGCAAATGCAATGTCTGGTCGTGCATGACACAAGTACGACAATCTTGCCACCAATCAATGATATGTTTCTTTATCCACCAGGTCACCTTATTGGCAGTCACTTTATTGGTTTTGATCAATTGGGGTTGAAGCAGATCGACAACCCAACATGCCATAATCATAGAGAAGGTCCAGGGTATATTTTCTTTGAGAAAGAGTTATTCCTTTTTCAGACCTGGCTACTTCTATACCAAGTACGTACTTGGGTCGACCAAGATCTTTAACTTCGAAGACCTTACTCAGACATCCCTTGAACCATCTCTACATCATCATCACCAGCGATAACGATATCATCAACATAAACTGCAAGAATGGTTACTTCCCCTTGAGAGTGTCTATAAAATAACGTATGGTAACCATTGCATTGTCCATACCCTATGTCACACACCGCCCGTCTAAACTTGTCAAACCAAGCTCTTGGAGCTTAGTCCATAAAGGGCTTTCTTTAGCCTGCATACCTTCAGCAGTCTCAGAAGTCGACAACCCAGGTGGAATCTCCATGTATAAATCCTCATGCAAGAAAGCATTCTTCACATCAGGTTGATCAAAAGGCCACCCGAAATTTGCTACACAAGAGATCAGAATCCTCAGTGTTCATCTTTGCTACTGGAGCAAAAGTCCATCTGTGCCAACCTGCACATCACCAGTGGAAATCGATGTCTGTATCAAAGGAGCCACATGAGTACTATGGAGCCGCCTGTTGCTAAAGGTGACGGATGCATCTGCACTTTATGCTACTATTCTCCCTTTCCTGACCAATCTCCGGTTTGAAACATTGGTCAAGTACTCCAAACAAGACAGTTAGATCAGTTTTCTCACCATAAAAGGGTTCCGATTCACGGAACGTAGCATCCATGCTCACAAATGCCCGCCTCTCTTTGTCCTAAAGAATATCCAATAAAGATACATTTGACTGCCTGAGGATCCAATTTGTTGACCGATGGCCTATGATCACGAACAAAACAAGTGCAACCAAACACCTTGGGAGGAACTGGGAATTTATTTTCTGTGAAAAATCAAGTCATACGGAGATTTCATACATGTCACCCTAGATGGCACGCGGTTAATCAAGAAGGGGTCATCTTGACAGCTTTACTCCACAGGAACTTGGGCACATTCATGGAGAATATCAATGCCCGAGCCACCTCCAACAGGTAACGATTTTTCCTCTTTGCCGCCCCATTCTGAGGAGGTTTGTCTGGAAGATGTTTGATGCAAGATGCCCTTGTCCGACAAAAAAGGCACCAGTGGCCTTGTTAACATACTCGGTGCCATTGTCTCATCTGAGTGCTTGAATTTTCACATTAAACTGAGTCTGAACAATTCCATAAAAAGTTTTGAAACACTCCATCCTTATGTCAAGATAGACCCAAGACATTTGAGAATGGCAATCGATGAACGTAGCGAAGTACTTCATACCACTGACAGATAGCATTGGACATGGACCATCAGAATGGATTAACACAAAAGGAGATACGCTCCTGATCCCTTACTCACATATGAGTTTCTGGTATGTTTAACAAACTCACATGCATCACAGTTCAGCTTGCTCTTGTTCACACCACTCATTACATCTGGGAAATATTTGATACATTTTGTCAAAAGACACATGTCCAATCTTTATACATCTCCGTCAGACCCTGACGATTGCTTGCTCTAAAGTGATGGATTAGGGCACTAGTCTCCTTATCCTCGGCAACTGCAGCTAGCATGTGCATTCACTGCCGGTCCGTCATGTTGCAGTCCATGTACCACAACCCCCTATGCCTCACTTCAGTCCCAAGACTCCTGCTCGTCGATCTCTCTTGGATCAAGCACACAACTTGGCCATGAATTATTCAGCAATCAATTTGGTCAATCAAAGCACTCAAGGACACTTAAGTTCACGACAAAAGCCGGTACTCCCACCGTCCAGGTGCATAGGTCGTCTAAGGAGTTGCATCGCGACCAAGACGCACCGTGATAGGCAAGCGTTAGGCTGGTCATAGTGGGGAAGTAACTTAGACTAGTAACATGCATATGTTACTGGTATATGTTACAACCTCCATAATGGGTAGTAACATATGTGTGGTATCATGCAAGGCTTTATTTATTTAGATGTAGACTCATTTTGCCTCGGGGTGTCTTATGTTACAGTAACATATTATGTTACCACAAACATATCTCTCATTAACTACTCGCCACATAAGCAAATTTGCCTTGGGATGCGTTATGTTACTAGCTAAGTTATTCCCGCTATGGCCAGCCTTATGTTGAGATTGTGAAATATCGTCTGCCCTCAAACAACGCAATCGAAAGAGTCATTTAATTGTGCATGCGTGGGGATGGGAGGATTGAGATGTGCATGCACGGGAATGAGCAGGGAAGTTAAAGGCGCGGCATGAGGGAACCGAACGAGAGGATGTGTGGGTTACGTGGGATATTAATTACAAGCGCAGCTAATATTCTTGGGATATCTAATTTTCACTAGACGTCCTATACACCTGGACAGAGGGAGTACATGCAAGACAGGATAATCAATATTAGGTGTGCATCTGACTGTCTCAACACATGTGATGGACTGGGTTGCCATCTGCTGTGTGAATGGTTTCCTGATGTATGAGAGGGTATGGAACATAGGATTTAAACTCACTGAAGTCTCCAGCAACATGATGTGATGCTCCTGAGTCAAGCACCCATTCAGAATTTATTTGATGGGCTGCTATTGATGCGTGTTCAATGTGACCTTCATTTGTATCGACAACGTTGGCATAGCTAGTAACAGTCTCCTTTCCTCCTGTAGTTGTGTCCCTTCAACTAAAGCAGCAATATTTGCCCTAGGAGCCGTCCAAGAACCACCACTCCCATTCCGACCACCTCTGTTTCTACTGCCATCACTAGATCCTTGGCCCCTGCCTCTTCTTGGTCTTGTGCAAAAACGACCGATATGCCCTTGTTGACCACAATTATAACAATCTCTAGAATCTCATTGGTTAGTCACCCTGAAAGCAGATTCATTTCCATGTCCTCTTCTTGATTGCAGGCGTACCTCTACTTGGTACATCGCAGGAATGGCCTCATCAAGGGACACAAGATGGCTAAGTGCAACATGCCTGCTCTCAAAACCTTGATTGAGACCTTTTAGAAACTGCATCACACGCCTATGCTCAACCCAATTCCTGGCAATTTCCATGGACTCTGCATATGGAAGCTCAAGGGGATCACACTGATCCAGATCCGCCCAAAGGTGGTCCGACCCTGGTATTGGACCTCTGAACCTATTAGGAAAAATTAGGTCCAAGGTTAGGCCTGCACCTCCTCTCTTAGGGTAACGGGCCAACCACTAGGTCCGTAGGTTTGCCCCTCGCTAGCACGCCGCCGCTATTTGCTCTTGTTAACTCGTTCAATACACCAGAAGAAGCAGATGAGAAAGAGCCTGACATGAGGTCGAACTGATGCTGGAGATTTGGGCTGCCTGATCTACTCCGACGAGGCACTCCCCGGCTATAAGCGCCTCCCGTGCGTCACGGCGTTCCGGCTGCTGACAACTAACCTGCTCCGGTGGTGGTGAATTTGGATACCGACCAGTAAAAGGAGATGCAGATGGAGACATGGGCAACCGGCAGGGGTAGGCAATGCTTCTACGAGTTTATTCAGTGGCTGACAGCTTGCCGTGATCCATCCTCCAGGCTCCAGCCATCCTGCGGGGGCACTATTCTGATGAGGTATAGGTGCGATTCGACCCCAGGTTCAAAGGGGTTTGCCCCATTTGGACCCTCAAGGTCGTCCGGTTACCCTACTTTGGTAACAAAAGGGAGGTGCGGTCCACCGGTCCAACGGGGCAAACCGGACCCCTTGAATCTTGAACATATACCATCATTCTATCACCTTAACGAACAGCTTGGATCTTGTCTTCAATTTGAGACATGAGCATCAGGTTTCCCTTACCGGAATACCTCATGCATACCTCATGGACAGCATGCTCCACACAACAGACACTGCAATGGTCGAAATCAGGGAGTTCAACATCCAGGCCAATATCAGCGAGTCAGTAACACTCCACTTCTTCCATTATGGGCTCTCCTTGTCAGAAGGTTCTTCAATCGTTCCATGAACATACCCCGTCAGGCCCTCCGTCTTCAAGATCAACAAGGCCCACCTCGACCAGCTCAGGTAGCTGCTCACACCATTCAGCTTGACATCTTTTTGCATGAGTTCAAGCTTGAACCCTTATCTGCTTGAGGCACAACAATCCTGCAGGAGATGACCCCTCGGTAGCTTTCACAGTCATGAGCTGCACAAGTTTCTCCAGCACAGAGGTAACATCACTCGCCATGACAGCCTCCACCTCTTCTCCTAGCTGTGCGAGTGCGACCGCCAGTACTGCTTCTGTCACCCTCTCCAATCGCGGCAGCAGCAGCAGCAACAGCACAGCACCTCAGCCACACTTCAGTAGCACCACCCTCTCTGTTTCTCAGACGTTGCAAGTACCACCAACATCAAGCAACAGAACAGCACTTTTGTCTTGCTCCAGATCGAGGGCGAGCAGCCGCACCCCACCTTTGCCGCAGCAGGCACAGCCAGTACCACCAACAGCAGCTGCACAAGCAGCAGCCGCACCTTGCCTTCTTCCGCTGTCGCGCACCTCCTCTTTGTCCTCTGCGGCTCTGCCACACAGCCGCAGCTCCTCCGTCAGCGTCGCGCACAGCCGCCTCTCTTCGCTGGCGATTTCGTCTCACTGTGCATCTACTGCGGCTCCTCCAGCAGCCGCCATCGCCTTCCTCCCTCGCCCTCGGCCTCTGATACCATGTAGTTCGAGAGAGGGATGTACCAGGCAGCTACTCAATCTGGTGTGAAGCGGCGCTCTCACACAGACATCGTCGTGCACCCCTCTCAACTAGGTCAACCACTAGAACGTTATGACCTGGGCCTCGTGGGCTGGTATGGGCCACATATACAATATCAGGCCATCTGCAAGGAGTCTGTGGATCTCTGCCAGAGTATCACACAGCCCATTAGCACACAAAGCAGGAAGTTCATATACAACAGTTTCTCTCCTGGGGTCGAGTTGAGGCTAAAGGTCAATCCTTCTAATTTTATTTTTCCAGTTTTCCTCTTATTTGTCCTGACCACAAAGTTCTCTTTGCGGTGGTCCTCAAAAATGACTTAGGTAGGAACATGTGGCAAGCAGCAAAACAGGCGACGGACACATCAATTAACAGCTCTCAGTAAATAATACGTAGCAGCATGTACAGCATGTTTCCTGAGATACGACCGTTTTCTCAAAAGAGGAAATAGAAATTTGATCATATTGATTATAAATTACAAGAAAATGATAAGCCTTTGTCCCTCAAAAGTACAAAACATAAATTAAGGTGCTCATATCTCTCACCTCAGAATCCCGGATAAGACCATGTAGATAGACATAAGAAAATGGTACTGTTCCTGTAAACTCAATTCCCATCATAACCATCCGTGCAACCCAGAAAAATAAAATGTCATGGCTGTCAAAAATAAATTAGCTATAGTATCAGACATAGTAAATGGAAAAGCAGAGTATCAGCGGGATAACAAGCACACCACCTTGTTCAAAGAAAGGGGGGGAAAGGCGTTACTGGAGCTAACATACCCGGTCTCAAGGACTGTTGCAGGATAAAAATGCTTAAAATCTTCCCTGGACACATCTGGCCAACCAAGTGTGCTGAAAGGCCATAAAGCACTGCACGATAACTTCCAACAAGTCAAAACAGAAAACTACGAGCAATTTTTTATATTACTTGTAACAGTTGTATGTACAAATTGATTATACTTGTGCAGTTCTCTACTACTTCCAATACTTGGAAATACGGCTCATACAGACATTGAAGTAAGAAAGAGAATGTAATATAGGAAGTAAAGGAAGAAAGCAAATGTAATATAGGAGTCCGGAAAGAATTCAAAGCATGGTGAATAGCAAGTCCAGTCAAATATAATGCCTGAATTCATAATTTTATTGGAGCCTAGAACCCTGAGCTGTGAGAATGGCCACACAAGGACATTAACTATTAACCTGCTTATTGCAATTGCACATGGCAAGCACCACAAGCAGAGGGCTAAGAAACCATTTAGAAGCAGAGGTGAGGAACAAAGCCAAGAATTTGAGGACGAACTTGATGATTAATTCTTTAGAGGCAATCACAATGAAAGTGATACGAAATGTTTTAGTGTCGCAATATCTTGATGTTGCAACAAGAAAAACCAGAACATCAAGAAATTGCCAAGAAATGTGAATATACTTTCCTATTAATACAAAATGTGTGCTGTCAGGGCCTCCCCTACAGTCTTTCATTAACAAAATGGTATTGCGGAACTTGTGCTCAATTGCAAAATAAGAAAAGGAGCATGTATTTCCATTAGGTGAATGCTAAGTAATGTTCTGAGTTAAATAAGAAGTGCTCACAAGAATTCAAGCGATCAACAAATCCATATTGCAGAAAACCAATTGGTACCACACAATTTTGAAGAGGAAGACAAACCTTGAGAACCAAGTATCGAGAACATCAGGATCCTGATATATTTCAACTGATTTTCCATATTTTTCCTGAGCTTTCGCAAGTGCCTCCTCTGCATTTCTGGCAACAACATAGTCTTCTTCACATTTCTTTCCAACGATGTACCAGACTGGTATCCGATGGCCCCACCACAATTGTCTACTTATACACCAATCTTTTATATTTGTTAACCAATTATTATATATCTGCAGCAGCAGAGCACACAAAAGAATGAGCAGGGATAAAATAGTGGGCAGGACAGGACAATTACAAAATTCATTTCTGCAGGAATAATAATTAACACAAATATGTTTAGATATGTGAGCACTTTCTTTGGCATATATATTGTTTCGCTGAGCCCCGATAGAACTTCCAGTCACAATAGCGTTGTTCTTAAGGCGGCAAAGCGACCTAACACAAGTACTCGCCGCCCTGACAACTAAGTGCCTAAGGGGGCTAAATTGTTAGGCTCTGCCCGCCTCTGTTACTGCTCTTTAGGTGTGCTTACTGCTGAGCAGTAGATGACTACCATTATTTTCTTTCTTTTTTGAGAAGATGCATAAGTATGCATAGACAGATAGGAAAAGGTTTGGTACAATCCCAGGACCGGACCAACACTCCAAGGTACAATGCTATGGGCCTACGAAGTAACCGCCAGGAGAAGCGCGGCAACACCCACCACCCCTTCCTTTGGCTACTACCTTTCTAGAGAATAGAATGAAAGATCCATGCATTTACCTTCTCAAATCTCTCCGGAAGAATAGTGAGTTGCCCTTTTTCAACAGCATGGAGGGCCCTTTCAGCCAATGGCTCCATTGTGACAAACCACTGCTTACTAATCAAGGGCTCTATGACCTAGGATCACACAGAAGTGGGGTCATCAAGCCGAAAAACATCACCAGCCCTTAAATACGACAAAGAATAGGAAAAAGGTTCACACTTCACCACCACGTTGAGATCTGGGAACTCTAAGTGTATAGGGTTCCTTCTTCACCGCCAAGTTAGTCTCGACAAGGTCAGACCACAGCTTCTCTCGTGCCTCAAAACGATCCATACCACTGGCGAAAAAAAGGAGGAAACAGAGTTAAGATCAACATGTTGCATACAGAAGGCCAGGCATACTGCAACTCTGTTAGTACTGCCTTTTCATATGCAGTAGTTGAATCAACTGATTATACTAATTGTACTAACTCAATGCCGCAAATTGTATTTCCAACTTTTTTATCTTAAAAAAAGTTAGAACAGTAAGCTGTGTTAAACAGCTAAAGTCCTATTGTATTATACCTCGAAAGCAACTTCAAGTCACCTTACAAAGAGGAACATATAATAACATAAATGTGTTTGTAAGCAGCTGAAATTGCAAGTCATGAATAAATTAACCACAGAATAAATAACAATGTTACTTCACATGCATTGTCTTGCAAATATTATACCTGTATAATCCAGCAACATCATTTAATGTGCCATCTTTGTTCATAACATTAAGAATTGGCAGCCCAAGCTTTCGAGCAATATGATAATCATTCTGATCATGTCCAGGGCTAATCTTCAGCACCCCTGTTCCGAATTCTGGATCAACGTACTGTAAATCATAGAAACGATAGTTATTATTAACAAAAGTCTATGCAAGGAAAACTATCCTGCTACCCTTTTAGCAGTCCCTTCAACTGCATCTGGAGAAAAGTAAACCCAATTACTACAACGAAATAAGTTTTTTAGCCAGGGAGAAACCATATGTGGTCACAGGAAAGATATTTCGAATTTGGGCATGCAAGTGTGAAAAACTTGCACAAAAGAATGCATGTACGTACATCAAGCAAAGGGAAAAGCCAGCTTGGGATGCAAAATTTTGCCTTAGCCACAAAAATAGTCATACGGGTGAAGTAGGTAACTACATGAGTTGATGAATAAATGCTTTCCTTGCTTCAACTGAAACACGATAGTGTAAACTTTGCATGTGCAGGCAACAAGATAAATTATAACTCAATAAATATGATGAGAGAACGCCCTGACTAGTGAATATGATGCTTTTGCATTGCTTCATTTTATTAATCTCACAATATCCTATCTGAAATTGCTAGAAATATAGAAAATACTCCCTCCATTCCAAAATATAGTGCTTCCTCTATTCCCGTGCTTCAACTTTGACCATAAATTTAACCAACGAGATCGACTGCGGCGAGAGCAAAAGTTATACCAGTGAATTCGTATTCAAAAGAACTTTTCAATTATATAATTTTTCTCCCACCGCAGTCGGTCTCGTTGGTTAAGTTTATGGTCAAAGTTGGACCTCGGGAAGCGCGGGCGCACTGTATTTTGGAATGGAGGGAGTACTAAAGAAAACAATAGTTTCATTCTTACCCGATCAGCAATGATAGGAACATGTCTCCCAAATGTCAAGGGTACAATAGCCAATTTTCCAACATATTTTGCATAGCGCTCATCCTGCATTGTCAATTAAAAAATTAAAATAAAGATGGTTTACCAAATCCAATTTCTTTGACAAATAAAATAGCTCAATGTAGTTATAGCATAGGTTGCAACAGAAGACAACGAAATGTCTTACAACGTACTACTTATGTTTACTGCAGAGCACTAAAAAGATCATACCTCTGGGTTAACAGCAATCGCAACATCACCAAATAGAGTCTCAGGTCGTGTTGTCGCAATAGTCATAAAATCATCCCTGCCCCACAAATTTCAATGTGTAAGCAATGCTAAGCATTAAACTGTGTCAATCATATTTGCTGGATTCCTCATGTTAGAATGCAAAATATAAGGTATATCAGGATACTCATTCTCATGAAAAATGTTCACTTAAACATCACAACAGAGGGCCAAAATAAAAAAGAACTGGTGGTAACACAAGCACACACTTGGCTGTAAATACAGTCAGCAATATGTGTGACGACATCATTGATTATTTAATGATAATTCACATTGAATAATTATTAGATGTTAGACGAGCACGATTAAGAATGTAAAAATATGTACCTCGATCCACCAGCAACACGATACTTCATATAGTACAAATAGCCAGGTTCTTCAGAGTATTCAACTTCCTAATAACACAAAACATTATAGAATCAAATATTTGATTGGCTCACGTATGATCATCCATGAAGTATTGAAGTTTCAGATCTCCCATGCAGAATCACCCAATTTTCCTTTTGGTTTAAATTACATAGTTGTGCAGATATATGTATGTATGTACTCCCTCCGTCTGAAAATACTTGTCATCAAAATGGATAAAAAGGGATGTATCTAGAACTAAAATACTTCTAGATACATCTCCTTTTATCCATTTTGATGACAAGTATTTCCGGACGGAGGGAGTACTTGTTAAAAAAAGAAGTAATCTCTTCACATACTAAGTCAGATACTGCAGTCTGCAGGTTAGGAGACCAGTTGACCAAATAAGATCCTGAAAAGGAAATACAATGAATCAACCAATACATACCAAAGTTACATAAGGTAAGTCCCTAAATTTAAAATGTAAACAAGAAAAATAAAACAAATCAAAAGATTAAGAATTCCTAAATCCCTGTCCAACAAGAAAAAATTACATAAGAATGGGATCACAAGCATGAGGCCATCCTCAACATGAATTCATCCAAACATATACCCAAAAAAACATATTTCACATGTGCTAAAGCAAAACACATGAACTACCAGTATCAAACAGATATCATGTTTTACTATGTTGAATGGTGCTTGCACCATAAGTTGCCATTTGGCAGGTATGCTGTTTTGATCAGTAAATATGATCCTCATCTGAGGATGGTTACAGTGAATATGTTGTGTAACATAAAACTGGATGCTATAAGCTGCAAAATGCGAACATATTGGTATTGTCTCACCAAAGAACATATAAATTACTTTTTGCAAAAAGTACCACGATACAATTGGTGATGGAAGTAAAATAATGGTGGCTTGCTTCCCACTAAATTATGCACACGGCCCTCCTATTAGTGGTCAAGTAAAATAACTAGGACAGGTCAGTGAGCAGGCCCAGCCCACTCAATTTGCATTCCTATCCAGAATTACAGCCACTCACTTGTGGCCTGATGGATTTCTTTTAAATCAACCAACTGAATTTCTGACTCATAAAGTTATAGAACTTCTGGTTGCTGAAGAAAGCTGACTAGAAAACCAAGAGTTTTCACATCCAGAGCAACATTCTTCCGGTGATGGCTCCGCTCCCGTGCTCCTCCTAGCCTAGCGCCGCACCTCCCACCTACCGCGCCGACGACGAGCCCCCAGGTAGCCCTCCCTCCCCGCCCCTCCTCCCCCGCCATGGCGCCCCTGAGTGGCAGCTCCGGTCCTCGGGCTCGCGCCGTT